AGGCTATTCCCACTCGCCCCACAGCACACCGAACCTTCTAGCAACGCGCTCAGACCAGCGCGCCTACGAGGATAAGTATGCTTGCGAGCTACCAGTGTCTGTCGTCTCCCCTTTTCTTCTCCAAGGTCAGTGTACTCGTAGAGTCGTCATCAGCTAGTTGCAATATACTACCTGAGACCGTTACAATTTTACATGCAAGGCATCCGCTCCCGTGATGCGCCCGCGCGACTTAGTTGCCGCTCGGGCACTCTCAGCAGTCCCTCCTATCCAGCAGTCCAGAACTCACCTTTCCGGCTTGGTAACGACGAAGCTGTGGGCGGCCGTCTGGCCGTGCTCGTCACTTAGCTGCATAACTCGCGCTGCGTGCTTGCGGCTCCAACATGGCGTTAGAGCCTGGTGCACTTTTCCTCTTCTTCTTCTTGGCCTCCTCCGGGCTCCCAGTCCCTCCTCCGCCTTCCTCAGGGTCTTCCTCTGCTCCCTCACGCTCCAGGTCAATCGAAAGCCTATACTCAACCGGTCTCCCAAGGCTCGTGAGCCAGGTGACTATCCGCGCTGCGCTAGAGCAATTCCAAGCACCTTCATTATGTAGGTTGTGCCTGTCTCTGAGCTGGGGTCTCACGTCCTTCAGTTCTTGATCTTGGCATCTAAGTACCAGGTGGGTCACCGTCTCCGGGGCTCTCCCGCAGTGGCAGAGCGGCATAACGGCATAGGCACTCCAAAGACCCGCCTGTTAAGGGAGGAAGTCTTTTAGGCCAATTGCTCCTATGCGAACCTATAATAGCAGCGAGCGCTTCGCCTTAGTTAAAGGCTAAGAAATATAAAAAGATAAGTGGTAAGTATATACGAGAGCTTAAGAGCTATAGAATAAGTAGTATAAATATTTGGAAATAAATTATATAATAGATTAACTACTATATAGTTATATAAATAGCATTAGTTATATGTTGCGATACAAGTAGTGATATAAGTAGCGATAAACCTGGTATTTTAAGGTAGTTTCGATATAAAATCTTGGTATAGGCAGCCTAGTGTTGGAAAGCCAACAGCCACGAATGTGCCGCACCGTAGTGATTGGGTATCAAAAAAATGGGCAACCACTCAATTGATGATGATGTACCTGTCTGTTTTTTTCCCAGAAGTTCCCTGCCTGTTCCTGATCCTGAGAATCCTGGTGCCAAGCCATTGGTCACCCCTGAACTGCCCTCTCTGACCACCTGCCAAATCCAACACCTAGAGTTGCCCTAACTAATATAAGAGGGGAGTCGCTTTACTTGCAGCTTGGGGGGTTCGCTTTACTGGCTCGGTACTTACGCAATTTGTGCAACTTGTAGTGGAGAGCGTATCCAACAGAAGAGCAGGTTCTCATTGCCCTTTGAACTGCCGTGTTATCGAATTGCTCCGTCCCATTCCAGGTTCGGCAGGATAGCTGCCGCTAAGGACGCTCTCGTCGGAATGTGTACCGTATAATGCTGTTACGGAATTTTGACTCTGCTTCTGCTCGAGAAAAGCGTCGGATGTCTCTCGTACTAAACTGCTCCACGCCCCTGACAACGTCGTGCCCATCTTCACCCACCCATTCGGGGCTGATGACCGCGGCGTGGAAAACTGAAGGCGAGGTCAACCGAACAGAGGACCCTGCACATCTGACGGTACCCCTAACCGGACCTATCAACCCGGCGGTCGCGGAGATAATGGGTTCCACTTGGCCATAAATGTCTTGGCACGGTGCCCGGGAGGAGCCTACACAGGAAGCGGCGGGAGTCTCCGAGGCGCTGATGATTGATGGTTTCCGAAGAACAAACATGCATGTCAGCCGCCCATGAACAGCCCCTAATTCCGTTGTCAACTCTGGAGCTACCGGCATGTCGATCGAGTGCACAGAGAGACGAGCGTTCCGGTATTTCAATTCCACATGTTAAATTTTTGATCCTCGGCTCAAATACATGATTTTACCTTACCGACAGATGGTAGTTTTTAGTCCCGATTGCGACTCTCTGTGGCGTTGCTTCCCCACGGGAAACAGAAAATCTGAGTGCCAATCCCGGAATTTCGTGTCCGACGTTAGTCCAGAAATAGCAACTGTCGGTGATTAGCTTCCCAGCCCCCGCATTCCGCCCGAGATGCCGATCGAAGGCCAATATCCTCGTGGGCAGGTGCAGCCAGCCCACCAGGCCGAGACGAGAAGCCGCGGAAGAGGAAGTCGCGAGTGGATAAGGAGTGGATGCAGCAGCACCACCCTTCTCCGGTCCTCGTGCTGGCTTGGTCGCTCTCGGGAGGCCGGCAGAGCGTAAGAGGGCGGTCGGCGCCGAAGAGCATTGACGTGCCCGCGTGCTTGCCCAGGATCGTGCTCCCTTTCTTCCCTGTTTCCTTGTACGGAAAGCAGAACGGCGTCTCACCTTGATGTATGGTACGGATATTGGGCTGCATTGCGACATTGGCTCTTTCTGTATGAGGGACTATACTTCTCTTTGACCCTTCTTTTTTTTTCTTTTCCCTCACGCGACCTAACCGGCTCCTACGCGCACACGCGACGCCCAACCCGGGCTCCACGGGGCCACCGAGTCTCGTCGACGCCGGGCGCGGACAAATGGAGGTAGACATGGCCGTCACCGAGGCGCCTGCGTTGCGCTCGGCGCCGTCTCCGCTGCAGAGCACACCACCTGCCTCCGCGGGGAATCCAGGGACCATGAAGCCCGGGGAGCCCAGGCGGCGCAACCGGCCTGCCCTCTCGTGCATCCAGTGCAGAACACGCAAGATCCGTTGCGACCGCAACGAGCCATGCGCCAGCTGCATGAAGTCTAAGATCGTCAACTGCACCTACGAGGAAGCCCGTCGCCCGAAACCCCGGTTATGGAGGCTTTCTCCGGCCCCGGCAGCCGCGGCGCCTTGCCCCGAACGCTCGCCGTCATCGAATGACGAACGCGCGTCTGTTGGCTCGGCCTTCACCTTCAGGGACATGGCGTTGCCGGCTCCGCCCCCAACCTCGAATCCTTCCTGTCCCGGCTCCGGTGCTGCGCCACCCGGCAAGAGCGCCGAGCCCCCGTCAGCCGTGAGTCCGCGTTCGACGCTCCAGTCGCATCATTCCGACTCAGCGCCCGGGACCATGAGTCCACTCGGCAACACGGCCGCACTCGCCGAGCGGGTCCGGCAGCTGGAACAGCAGCTCGCCGATGCCCTAAGGCGCCCGGACTATAGCTCACCACCGTCGCGCTCGGCGCACGGAACGCTCTCCCCGGACCATCCTCACCTTCCCCGGCCGTATGGCCCAAGGTTCCTGACGAACGGCGACAAACTCGTAGGTTCCCCCTTGCCAAGTCCACTCTTTCTTTGGCCTCCATCAGTCGGTGCACCATGGTGCCTTTTCCCTGGTCGTCAAGCCACCGCTTTTGTCACCAAGGTACCATGACCTGTCGCGCTGACAGTCCGGCAGTTCCCCTTGGTTGTCAACGTCGCCGACCGCGTTGAGGCAGACAAGAACTGCGACGCGTACTTTGCTCTACAGAAATGCAGGGATCTAAGCAGGACCATCTCATCCACAAGGGCTGCGACATCCGCCCCATGGCAGTTGGGCACATCCATCCCTCCTGAGGAAACAGCTCACCGACTCCTCGACGCGTATTTCAGAACTTTTGAGACCGTCTACAGGATCTTGCACCGGCCTACCTTCTGTCAGGCCTATCAGAAGTACTGGGAGAACCCTGCAGCTGCCGATCCGACGTTTGTGGTCCTCTTCCAACTCTGCATGGCCATCGGAACCTGCTTCCAAGATGACGTGGCCGCTCTGCGCCGCTCTGCTGCTCAATGGATACACGAGGCCCAGGTCTGGCTTGTTTCGCCCACCGAGAAGTCTCTCGTCAGTTTTGCTGGCCTGCAGGTCATGTGCCTGCTTCATCTAGCGAGGGAAACCTGCGGCGTTGGAGGCGACTTGTCCTGGATCGGCGCCGGCTCCCTGCTGCGAACTGCTATGCACCTTGGCCTTCATCGCGACCCGAATGGCCAACCAAGCATATCGGTATACGAAACAGAGATGCGAAGGCGGCTGTGGGCTTCCATCTTGGAAATTGTGTTACAGTCCAGCTTGGACTCGGGCGCACCGCCTCTTCTCGCTTTGTCCGACTTCGAGACGCGGCCACCATCCAACTACGATGATGACCAGATTGCCGAGAACGCCCAGCTCCCATCAATACCTCGACCCCCAAACGCCTTCACCCAGACCACAGTTCAGATCGCGCTCCTTCGCTCTTTTCCCGTACGTCTGGCGATTGCCCACTATGTCAACCATTTCCGCTCTCCGGTCACCTTCGAGGAGACGTTGAAATGGAACACCGAATTGACCAACGCGTGCCGAGCACTGTCCGCGACCCTTCAACCGTTCTACGACCCAGCCGGCATCCTTCCCAAACGCCTCTCATTATTCCAGCTGCGCCTGGCGGAGCACATGGTGCATCGCTTCTTCCTGGCGCTCAACTACCCCTGGCTTTGGTCGGCGCATAAGAACCCCGCGTATTACTTTGCACGGAAGATGTGCGTCGAGACGTCTCTCAAGCTTTATCGAGCCATTGCCACCGGGTCTCCGGCCGGGGACTCGGGGACCGCAAGTCAGTCGGACGATTTCACGAGGCTTGCTACATGCGGCTACGGGGCGTTCCGATCCGTTCCCACTTTGGCAGTCTTGACGATTTGCTTGGAGCTTCTTTGGCAGGTCCAAGAGGATCGGTCCTTCCAGCAGAGCATGAGCATCGATCACTCGATAGATCGGTCGACGGCGTCGGGCAACGAACCTGATGTCAACAGCTCCGTCGGCATGGGCATCGGCAGCGGTGCCGCCCCTCGGCAGGAGCTGCTGGAAGCTGTGAAGTACTCGATAGGCTGGACCGAGCGGCGCATCCGGTGCGGCGAGACCAACGCCAAGGGATATCTCCTTTTTTCTGCACTCCTGTGCCAGGCTCAAGCCCTCCAGCGTGGCGTTCGTGACTCAGATGTCGAGCGGCTCGTGTTGAGCACCGTTAGCGAGGACTTGAACGGGTGCCTGCTCCTGCTGAAGGACGCCGCGGGCCGTGATCCCTCGTTTGCGGTGGCAGGAGGGGTGGCGAATGGTGGGACCACGCTAGACGCAACGGCGGACGCGGCGAGGGGTTCCAGACCGGACGCGAGAGAGGCGGTATGTGATCAGCTGCCTCCAACTGCTAGTGTACGATCTGCTAAGTGTCAACAGGCGCGGACGCGGGGGTTCAACTCCATCTTCAACATACATGACGCTGACTTCTTCATCGGCACCTGATATTGCCACGGGCGATCCTTTTTTGCCCGGCTGGCGTTGCCGAGAACGAATACAGAACGGGCTCGCGCCAAAGAATGAGCTTATGTGTGAGACTTCAAACACTTGGGAGCCGCTCTGGGGATGTTCATCCGCACTCTCCTATTGGGTTGGGATTTCTCCCGTCAGGAGGATCATCATTGAGTCTGCCGCGTTGCCATAAGGCAAGTGACACTGCTCATGACTTGGTACAGACAGGCGCCATCTGCTAACCAAGGCCTGTCGAAGACCGCTGTCGTCTTCCTCCGAACCAGAACCAATTTTCAGGTACTGACATCCCTCGCAGCGGGGACGTAACCAGGAGAGATGATGTGGACCATGTCAGCTACGGGGCCTGGAAGGTTGGATGGGTTGCAATTGCGCAAGTCCAGGTGAACGGAAGCAGATTGCCGCCCGATGAATCTACTCAATTGCTCTTCCGAGGTGACGAGTAATCGACTGTTTTACACACAAAACCCGGGAGTGAGATCAGCATGGCAGCGATGAGAGAATGAAGGTCACAAGCCCTTGCCGCCTCCCTTCAGCCGCTAATGGCTTCGCCGTTTTACTCATGGGCTGCGTCGCCGTCCTTTCATCTCGACTCACCCTCCAGCCCAGTGCTAGATATAGAAGGTCCATCTCTTGAATCATCACTTGCCCTCCAGATGGCGCAGTGGTTTACTGCCTTGGGGAGCAAGAGGGAGGACTACGCTGAGTGGTGGCTTGAGTTCAAATCCACTTCGGAGCAAAATTTGTGGGGTTTTCGTAGCCGCCCGTCCCTCAGTCGCGTGGTAATTAGAGTTGGACGGTAAGCATTTTGTAGATTTTTACCTACCGACTGGTTTCTCTAGATACTTACTCGATCTAAATTCCTCTTCCTACATTGCCGTTGACCCACGGGCCACTTAACGTGCATCTAGACGAGCAGACGGTCAATACAAGCGACTTCCATAGCGAAACACATCGATCTTCACTAGGTAGTTGAGCCTGCTCAGTTGCTGGCTGCAAGAACCTGTCACCATCAAACATCTTAACCACCTCACTATCTTGAAACAAGCTGGGCTTCCCAAAGGAAACCTGATGCTGTAATTCTGTCCATATCCCATTCTTTTCAACTCCTCCCATGTGATTAGCACCCTGTGACGACTTCTCCGTTACGTCTTGAATCACCCTCCGCCTCTTTCGTTTACTTACCTGATTCGGCCAACTATCGCACCTGAATGATTGAAGACGCTCAAAAGCGCTAACCGGGCTATCGTCATAGTGGCAGAATCCGGCCCCCGAACTGCAGCAGAGTGCGTTTGCGAACTGCTTCTGATCCTGTACGCCTTAGAAAAAGATGCTCCCTACCTCCCGCTTGAGTCCAATCCAATTATGATCCATAGTCTGATAGACAGAGCAGAGACATTTGAGTAGCTACTCCGGGGTGAGACGCCTCATGCCGCAAAAAGTGTCGGCTGCACCGGCCTCGTCCGACGACTCGATACCACCCATGGAGGGGGAGGTGGAGGGTGGGCCGCTGGTAGGGAAGAGGCTGTCGATGTCGGCGTGGCCAAACAGCGGTAAACGGTCGCAGTACCAGTGGAAGCGGTAGGCGCAGCAGTTGTCGAACCACGCCCAGCGGGTCCAGGAGCATCATCCCGGTCGAGAATGTGTTGCATGGGTATGGCCGTCACCGCCGTGCAGCCTTTGCAGTTGACGTAGCTTGTCATGGTGACAGCAGCAGGTGTATCACTAGTACCGCCTTGAAGCGCCCTGTTGGGGACGCGCTTGGTGTGGGTGCAGCCGTCCTCGGCGGGTTTGCCTGTGGAGGGGAGGAACAGGCGCGGGTAGACTGGAATGAGCGCCGCGGAGCTCGGAGGTTCGGTGATGGTTATGAGAGCCTGCGAAGTTGATGGCGAAGGCGATGTGGGGGGAGTGATGGAAGGATGGTCGATTTGGAGGCCATCAGCCGAGGGCAGCAATAGCCTGGATGCGATGAGGAGAACGCAGTACAGCATTATAACGGCGTAGTGTGGCCATCGTGGCCGTTTGGTGCCTTGGCAGAAGAAGCGGGGATGGAAGGGGTCTCAAGAGCCGTGAAACCTGCGAGTGGCCAGAAGTGGAGGTCATAATTACCCTTATTTCAGCCTCATCCGATGGTGCCACACCAGACATACCAAAGAGACCAGCACCCAAGCGACCTTCAAGTTCAGTTATTGATGTCATTATTGATGTGACAGGCCATTACATGAAGGGAAATGTGTTGTACGGTCTTGTCGGAATGCTGAAATTAGCTCTTGCTTGCAGTTCCAGTGCTTGACAACGGAGGATATTTGCTATGTAATGAGTGGAAAAGTAAAGGGATGGCAGCTTCCCCTTCAACCCATTAAAGGCTGTGCCCGGTTCTGCACCTCCCTGGCCTTGGACAACGGGCGCTGCAGTAAACGAGCTGAGTGGAGTCTTGAGCTCACTGCGTCTGGAATCTGGATCGCCCGTGGGGACTTTTTTCCTCTTTCTTTTTTTAATTTTATTTATTTATTTATTTTTTGAATGGATTGACGGTATAAAGTCGGTTCCTGGATGCACTTGGAATGCTGCATGAACCTGGGATGGAAGAATTCAAGTTCGGTCGGACATGCAGCTTGCGCTTACAGGTCTTGCCAGTTCCTATTTTTGGCAACCCCACTGAAAACCCCGCAGTGCTTGGGGCTCGCCTATCGGCGCTATGTGGAGCCAATCTTTTTTCTCTCTTCCGGCATTTCCAGGGTCCAGACCTCGTTCTCACTTTTCCTCCAGGAACACCCAAAGTTCATAACGGCAGAAGCCTTGTATGTGGTCGGTCTTATAACGGCTAAGGTACCCTCATTATCCAGCACTGGAGTATTCAACGATGTTCGGTACTCAAGACTGACGACATTTCTCCCAACTCGGGGTGCGCGGAAGGAAACAAAAAGTGTCAGGTTGCATTGGGCCCGGAATTGTGGTTTTATGGTTTCACCATCTCTCAATTTATCCGCCCCATCGCCAAGGTAAGCTGTCTAGTTCACTTGCCCCTTTGGTTAACTTGACCAACACTTCCCGGATATTGCAATGCTACCTCCTTTGCTCCTTGCCCTCCCAGGACCTGGAGAACACGGATAAGCCCAGCTTTCGGGCCATTCCTGTCATGCTCGGGCCCAGGGAGAAGCTTGTCTTCTTCCGCATCCAGAAGACTCCGACCCGCCACCCAGGATTTCCCAACCAGATCTGAATCCCACTGGACGCCAACATGGCTCATGTCACACTGCCAACGTAATATTGCGCCCAATTGAGATGCGCTGCATTAACGACTGCGACATCCCGAAAGATGGTCGTGCTGCACACAAGCATAACGCACCTTCTCCCTCGACAGTCTGCTGACCCGGAAGCCGATCTCCGGTCTAGGCTGGGCTGGTCACGGAGTGGCCATAAAAGGCGCCAGGCTGACTTCAACTCGCAGCCAGGTCAACAACTTAGATCGGACGCGCCCCATCTACATTTTCTGGCATCGGGTGCAGTTGGAACGTCTCCGACGCCGACGTCTAACATACATCAGCCCCAGTGCGCCAGCAGCCATGGAGCTATTAGCCATCTTCCTTTTCTTCACGGCCCTTGCACCTGTGTCATCGTCCCCTATTGTTCCACCAGGGGAGCCAGGCCATCCGGCGCGTAAAGCAGAAGGGAGCGAACCATTTCACCTGGCTGCATCAGAAACCCCAGGAGCCTCACCCATCGTCCATGACCAACCTCCAATGCCGACCCCTGCGCCGGCATCACCCCTGGGCACCATCAATGACGAGCCGATGAGACCGATTCTTGAACGCCGCGAGGCTCTCAATATCGGCTCACCAGATGGAGTGCCGCCTCTAGATACGGCTCTTCTTCAGCCAGCCCCGGGCAAAGGATGCACAACTACTCTCGAGGAGCTGGACCGTTACCCGTGTTCCTGGGACGGAACCACAAGGGTCTACTCTTCCACAACCGTAATGTTCCAGCAAGTCAACTGCAACGGATGCGACAGCGTCTATGTTCACAAGGAGATATACCATTGCCCCAACCAGGTGATCAATGCGACGCAGAGGATGGCGGTCCCCAGCACTTCGTGGAGCACGATTTGTCGGCCATCCTCTGGTCTTGCGCTGCGGGCCGGAAGCGACGCGCCTGCAACGGCGACCCATCTTTGATGTTGCGTCTTTGCCGATTCCCGGCGCGGAAATGGAGGCCGGAAGAACGGGGCGTTCGGGACTTCTGTCTCTTGTACGATCTTTGAGGGGGTGGCTATTAGATGATGCAGGCAAGGAGAACTCGCAAGAGGATATGGTTCATTGGCGGTGGCTGTTGAGGCATGATGTCAACTGGTTCAAAACTGTTTGGCATACGGGAGGACTGCTGGGGCACTGTGACTCTCAGCCACAATTCAAATTCTGTCTTCCTGATAAGGCTTACCAGCTGTGGCTTGGCGCACTGTTTAACCCCTTTTCCATTGACTTCCAGGGCTCAATCTTTCCCTTTCCGCAGCCAAAGGACCCCGGGGCCCCCTTCGTGCAGAACAGATCTTTTAGCGACATCCGGAAGCCCACTCGCTACAGACCTTAACCCGAATTTAAGCAAACGCTAGACAACGTCCTGAGCACGCGCGACGCCGCGAATAACTGATGGAGCGAAACAGCGGGGGGTACGACTCTTAGACTACCGCCGACATCACTAAGAGGTCATCCAAAGAAGAGACCGCGTTGGGGGTGGTATCCAAAACCGTGCGATGAGGCCGAGTGGTCGAGTCTCGGTCTTCTCGCTTGGCCGTTCTCAAGACGACGAGGATGCGCGAGAGTCCAAACCCCTCCAGATCGGCGACTATGTGATCTAAACGGCGTTCAAAATTCTTGGGAACTCTGGCGGCGGTGCGCCCAGATTCGAGGCTGGCAATTCTCTTCGCTACGACCAAGTCCGAGGCAAGCTGCGACAGCGACCCCGAACCAACCTCGCTGCCAGGTCTCGAGGGGACATTTCTGGCGGTCAGGCAGAGCATCTTTGCTCAGGTTCAGAACCTCGAGTCCTGTGATCGCCAGCTACTCGCCCACTCATCCTGTTCGTCACGGTGTGGCCATGATCAAGGATGAGCTGACCAGGCTGAACGATGTCTACCATTCGATGGAGGCGGAGATGCATGGCTATGCGAACGAGCTGGAACTTGCCGATGCTCGCGAAGAGGCACTTGGAAGGGATCTTGAGGACGCCAGGACGACAAACTTCAAGCTTACCTGCGCCAAGAAGGACCTCGCCGAGCACGTCCACCACCTGAAGTCTGCAGCCGCCGAGACAGAAGAGGAGCGGCGCCGACTAAGGCGTGAGGTTAGGGACGTCGAAGCGAAGGCTTGAATAAATCGATGTCAGCTACCGCGAGTCTCAGGCGGAGCGCGCCAAGACGGTTGCAGAAAAGCACTCGCTGGAAGACACCATCCGCAAATGTAAGGCAGAGATCGAGCAAGCTATCGCAGAGACTCGCAGGTTGCAGGGCCTCATCCCGGAGAGGGATGAGGAGATTTAGAGGCTGAAATCCAGCAATCTCGAACTGCATAACCTGGTTCAACAACGAGGGGCAGAAGCAGAGGAAGCGAGAGCCGAGAACACCAAATTAGAGGGCATCCTGCGTAAGAAGGAGGTACAGTCACAGCTAGCCGTATTAGCTGCTTTCCCCATCACGCCTGTGTCTCCCCCAGCGTCATTCGGGACGCTTCCGTCCCCGTCAGGGCAAGCTATTCAGCCACCCCAGCCAGAACGTCTCCTCCCACCTCCGCCCGGCTCCCCCGTCCCGCCATGGGATTTTAGCAGCCAGGAATGTGTAAGCTGGCCCGCAACGACCCGCAGATCCACGGAGGTGCATTGAGAAATTTGTAGTGCTTCCTCATGGGGTTAAGAATGATTATGCCGTAGCTGTTTGCCACTTGAAGCTCACGCAACCGCCACCCCTTATTTTCTTTCTCTACTATCGAGCCGTTAGCTTCTTGCCGTTCTTCTTCAAGCGCAAGCAGAAAGAGAAGAAAGAGAAAAAAGAGAAGAAAGAGAAGAAAGAGAAGAAAGAGAAGAAAGAGAAGAAAGAGAAGAAAGAGAAGAAAGAGA